TTATTAAACTCCTGTTTTATCTAATATTTGGTGTTTTATCTCATTATCCAAACCAACTGATTGAGCTGCTTTCTTTAACTTGAGGAAAATACTTTATAACGTTAAATAAAATGGGAAACAAAGGAGGCTTTGTGCCACTGGCTGCAGCGTGAACCCTCACAGTGTTGTGGGATTAAAAAAAAAGAATGATTTCATCCAGCGTGTTGGCTGCACGCTGTTTTTAAAGAGAGTCTGGGTTACGTGAGACATTAGATCGCTTCCAAAAACAGCTACTTCAGCCTGGATTTAGTGTTGATTCCTGCCCTCAGTATGTCTAACAGTCTGAAACCTTTTGTCTCGTCCAGGCAGCACGTCTACCTGCCTGTGCCCGGCCTCCAGGGACTCTCTGACCTCGGCTGGCGGTTTCGTTAACCGGGTCGGCTGCTTGGACCTGGTGGCCGGTGGAAGCAACCAGCTGACTGAGTCAAACAACATCCAAACCTCAGCCAACAACAAGAACCAGAGCCGGGACAAAAGGTTAGAAATGAACCAGGGGAGGAAGATAACAACCAGTAACTCCTCTATGCTGTTTGTTTCATATGTTTGCATGTTTTCTGTGTGTAGCAGCTATTTAAAAGCGCCTTGGCAGAGGAAAAGGGGGTAAATGTGCAAGCAATTAGCACAAAGGACATCCAATGCCTCTCTGCCCCCCCCCCCCCAGTATAAAGCCATCACACACCGCTAAACACCAGATCAAAGGCTCACGCTCTACCCCTCCATTAGAGATCTGACTGCTGCGTTTTTAAATTTAGCTTAAAGAAACCCTCCCAGTTTGTTGCTCCAGCAGCGTGTAAACTGGGAGAATACATCATTTCTTCACTCATTGCCTTTTTTGGGAAACAAAAAACAGAAAATACTTATGCCCCCCCCCCCACCAAATAAGGCCAGAAATACCAAAACGCTGCTGTAATTAGATATCTGCAGCGTTGTTTCTCAGGACCTTAACGCCGACTGTCTGCCTGCCCGTCAGAGGAACCACACTCGGTTTCGGGGGCACGAGGCTGTCGGCACCCAGCAGAGACAGAACGGGAACTAAAACATCAAACCTCGAGAAAAGAGTGAGAGAAGTTAATCTATTTAAATCTACTGAAAGTTACAAATCATCCTGGTAGAGTCATTATTTATCTTAAAGGTCAATTCAGGAGCATCTGTTGGTAGAAACTGAATATTATATTTATAGGAATGTTTTCATATTTCAGACAAACCAATCACTGGCTCTA